ACTGCCTTCTTCAAGTTAACGAGGAAGGAGCTCAACCGCAAGGTGAATCAGTTGGCCACTGAACTGAGCACGCTCAAGGTAGACCATCACAGCAACGCATCACGACAACGGCGCCAAAGCCGCGAAAGATCGCCAAGCCTGCCTCTCAGTGCCTGCTGTCACCACCACCGATGCGGAGCTCGAGTTCGTCAGTGCAAACAGCCATGCCAGTTTTCGGTAAACGCACGGGCCATGCACTGAGGACGGTCAGTGTTTCAGGCCCGACATACAGCCTCTTATTCCACGTCACAGACCGCGTCACCAAAGTCCACTACCTCATCGACACAGTTGCCGAAGTGTGTGTTGTTCCTCCTATGTTGGAGGACTGCCGCCGATGCCAGTCCTCGCTGCCTATCGCCGCGGTCAATAGTTCGACCGTACGGACCTACGGACAGAGGTCTGTTACGCTTCACATCAGCCTGAGATGCACATTTAGGTGGATCTTCTTAATTGCCGACATGCATGTACCCATCATTGGTGCGGATTTTCTTTGGCATTTTAAGCTTCTGGTAGACCTACGACATAGCCGTCTCGTGGATTCTGAGACCCTCCTCACAGTTCAGGGCGTAGCATAAAATTTGCCACCCTTGCGTCTCGTGCAAGCATATGCCAAAGTCTCCCCGCTGTGGTCTATACTTCTGCAAAAATTTTCCGACCCTTTTCGTGCTACATTTCTTTAAGACCCGATACGCCACAATTTCACTCACCATATAGTGACAGTAAAAGCACTGGTGTTTGCACGTGCTCGTCGTCTCACTCCTGACCACCACAAAATTTCACGCCCAGAATTCAAGCACATACTTAAACTCAGATACATCCGCCCCTCTTCCGGTGCCTAATCGTCACCGCTACACATGGTTCCCAAGCCCTCAGGTGACTGGAGACAATGTGGTGACTACCGCGCCCTCAACAATGTGACGGTACCGGACTGCTATCAGATACCGCACATCCAGGAATTTACGGTATTGCTGCAAAGTTCCACCTTATTCAGCAAAATCGACTTGGTAAAGGCATACCACCAAATATCTGTCGAACCTTCCGACGTACCGAAGACTGCCATAATAACACCTTTTGGCATGTTTGAATACATGCGTATGCCCTTGGGTCTACGAAACGCCGCACAAACCTTTCAACGGTTTATGGACCAGGTACTTCGTGGTTTGACCTTCTGCTTCGCTTACATCGACGACATCCTTGTCTTCAGCACCACTGCAGAAGATCACGAACTTCACCTGCGTCAGGTTTTCACACGACTCCGCAAATATGGACTAGTCGTCAACGGACCAAAGAGCGAGTTCAGCGTTTCCTCACTGGACTTTCTTGGCCATCTCGTGGATTCACGTGGGATCTCTTCACCGGCCATGCGTGTTGAAGCTATATTGCAGTTTCCACGACCAACAACTACGAAGAAACTACGTGAATTCCTCGGGCTTGCCAACTATTGCCGGCGGTTTATTCCTCATTACACTGACATCTTTCAACCACTCCATGCACTTCTATCCAGTCAAACGAAGCCCAATGCTTCCAACTTCTGGATGGGTGATGCAAAGACAGCTTTCAGTTCTATCAAGGAAGCTCTGGATAACGCAATGCTCCTTGCGCATCCAAAGAGCGACGCCATCGCGTCACTCACAGGGACGCCTTGTATGTTGCCATAGGAGCAGTCATGTAGCAGTTGGTCGACGGAGTTTGGCAGCCGGTCGCTTTCTTCTCACGGAAGCTCTCACAGACACAGAGTCGTTATAACACATTCTGTCGTGAACTCCTAGTGGCCTATTTGGCTGCCAAGCACTTTCTAAACTTCCTAGAAGGTCGGCAGTTCCATATCCTCACCGGTCACAAGCCGCTTACGTGTCAATCGACCACTAACAACTCTGCCCACGCCTCACGTGAGATCTGCCAGCTTGCCTATATATCGGAGTTCACGAGTGATATCCGGCACATCAGTGGCAAAGACAACCCTGTTGCTGACGTGCTTTCCTGAATAGAAATCAACGCAACTGTGAATGAGCGCCCACCAGTCGATTTTGCAGTCATGGCACCTGCACAACAGGACGACAGCGAGCTTCAGGTGTTGCAACTCCAAGAGAATTTCCTCATGTTTGAAGATGTCAAACTTCCAGGCTGCGCGATTTCCCTCGTTTGCGACATCTCTACCGATTGTCCTTGCCCTTACGTTCCAGCACCATTTTGCTGCTCAGTCTTCGACGCCTTGCATTACTTGTCGCACCCTGGTATACATGCGACTCAGCCCCTCATCACAGGGCGATATCTATGGCCTCAAATGAACATTGACGTCCGCCGCTGGACACGTGCTTGCTTCAAGTGCCAGCTAACCAAAGTCCAGCGCAACACGGTCAGCCCACCGGGTACCTTTACGCCTCCTGACTCGCGGATCAGCCACGTGCACCTGGACCTCGTAGGCCCTTTGCCCCCATCGCAAAACAGCCGGTATATGTTAACCAGTGTAGACCGGTTCACGTAGTGGCCTGAGGCACTACCCCTCACCGACATCACGGCAGAGTCAGTCGGCCGCCGACTCATCATCGTGTGGATAAGCCGCTACGGAGTTCCCAAGACCATCACAACAGATCAACATCGTCAATTTGACTCTGCGCTCTTCCACACCTTGTCCCGTATGCTTGTTGTCAACTACATCAAGACGATGGTTTACCACCCGATGTTGAATGGCATGGTTGAGCGATTTCACCGCCACCTCAAAGCTTCGCTCGTGGCCTCCCAATCATTAATACTGTGGACGGAGCGACTACCACTTGTCCTCCTCGCCCTGCGCAGCATGATACAAATGGACGCGTCTTGCTCCTCAGCTGAGCCCGTATTTGGCACTATCCTAAGGCTTCCTGGACAGTTTGTCACCGGTATCATCATTGGACGTAGCTGCTTATGCCAGTCGCCTGAGAAATGCCATGAGAGATGTGTCCCCTATTCTTGCACACCAACACTCACGTCCAAGTTTTGTCAGTCATGTGCTCCGCGGCTACACCCACGTTTTCATACCACTCAACGCAATCAGACCACCACTGCAACCTCCTTACGACAGACCCTTTAGGGTCGTCAAGTGTTACCCGAAGCGTTTCGTTCTGCTGCTTAATGGACGCGAAGACGGTGTCTCCATTGACTGTATAAGCCGGCTTTCCTTGACACTGACGCCATCCTCGAAGACTACAAGTGATTCCCGAAAACCAGACGAACGCGCTTTGCAACAGCAGATCCTATAACCTGCTCATAGAGGTCGCTCCTTTGCACACCGGCTACCTTGCTGGAGGGGGAGGCCTTATGACAAGCCATCAGCATCTCAGAGAACACAAAGTTGCGCCGCAGCTGCTCTGCGTGTTCGAGCCAGCACAAGAGAAGACGCCAGCAACAACAACAGCGTTTGTGGACGTCCATGTCAGAGCAGGGATAAATAAAAAAATGTAGGCAACCAAACGCTGCATGTGTTCCTACAATGTAATGATTCTTCCGCGTTGATTTTCTCAGCAAGACTGGGTGCGCTCACCATCAATATTACGGCAGAAGAGATGCTGAAGTCATGCACAGATTGTAGCGAATTGCACGTCGTTTAAATTTCTTTTTGCGGTGTAGTGTTTCTTTGAGTATTTGGTGCTGATATGCTGATATACATAGCTGGGTTTATTGAGAACAGGTTGAAATTAAATTAAGTAAACTTAGTATGCTAATTATTCAACTGCTAAGAAATATTTAAATTGCAGCTGTGGTGTCTTAAACCACGTCGTTTTGGAAGGAATAGTTCCTGTGTGTACAAACTACCTCGATATTTTATAACTGCGGCAATGTCAACAATGTCCATGAAAGTGCTGGCTCAGAACTTCATGACATTTCACAAGCTATCTATCCTCCGCCTGTCCAATGAATTGTGCACGCAGTACGTCATTCTGATATGTTTGTCCTCTGCGGCGCAGTTTGCAACCATTGTCTTGAGGTTTTACGTGTCTGCAGGGGCGTTGCAGATAATGTAGGTGATAAAGGTCGTTCTTGCACACGGAAACTATTTCGAATTGCTGGATGGCCAAGATGGTGCTGTGATGTAGAGGTCGAAAAACGCAGTCACGTCATCACTGTCGAAATTACCACTTGCCCATTTCTAGTGATGTATCATCCGAACTCAACGCACAGTATCACCTCAAAGCAATGAGAAAGTTCGGCACATTGTCATATGTACTGCATTAAAGTGTATTTATTTTTTTTTGCAAGTGCCAGTGGTTCATTTCATAACGTGCACATGCAACGTGCACGCTGTCACAGACACGGGCTGTGCTTGAGAATAGCTGCGATAATCATGCCATTCGAAACATTAACCACTTTTGAGAGAAATTCTCTCACACGTTCTGCACTTTGCATGCGGCGAACAATCAACGCAGTGGCGCTTTGGCGCATCCACCATGGCGCCGAGCGACAAAAACCGGTTATTTGCCGCATCCACCCAAAGAGACAAGAAGCTCTGGTGGGGAGAGGAGGAAGCGGCGCAGATCAAAAGAATGCTGTACTTTTCCGAAGGTATAGGGGCTTTAGGCGGTAATGCTGGCGTTACGACGCTAACCATGATGATGATTACAATGGTAAACTCTCGCGAGTACTGCGAAAGCTACCGCTCAGCGGTGGTTAACCCTAAACGTGGCTTGTCTGCGAGACACGCGTGTGCCATGCGGCGAAAACAAGTTTACAAGGGGAGTGATCGCACCTCCACAGTATTTGCACAATATATATATATATATATATATATATATATATATATATATATATATATATATATATATATATATATATATATATATATATATATATATATATATATTTGTGTGTGTGTGCCTATGCAGCATTTCTGTAGCCCGATGCATTCAAGTGTGCATCAGACATTGGTTGCTTCTTCTAGCGCTTGCATTTTCAGTGCATCAATTACTTTTCTAATTATATTACAGAGAAATGCTGAGCTCTCCAGAGGTTCAAGCACAGCTGCGTGAGTTCTCTGCTCTAGTTGACGAAGCGCGGAGGTGCAGTGCAAAGTATGCAGAGTGCCCCGAGCGAGCACGGTTTCTGGCTCTGTATGGCCCTGAGGTAGGTTAGTGCGTAAAATTTTAGGTTTTCAGTCATAATAACTATGCCTGTGCAAAAAGTAAATTTTAGGCTCAAAGTGAATTTGAGGCGAGTATTGATTTGGTTCAAATAATTTCAGATTAAGTTTGAATAATATGTATAACATATGTAAAAAAAAGAGGCATGTTAGGTGTTAAATCAGCATGTTGTTAGTTTGTATAATATATATAACATATATAAAAAAAGGGGCAGGTTAGTTGGGTCCATGACTCAACTAACCTGCCCAATATAGTTTCTGAAGAAACAAGGCATGTGCGAATGTGATTTTTTTTGCGTCAAGGGAAGTGTAAACAATATGAGAATTAATAGCAAGAATCAACTTTTGGTAGAATCCAAGTGATAACCTGTGAAATATTTAAATTTCTGAAAAGATGGATTGATGCAAGGGTAATATGTTTAACCTTGAAGCAGGGCTTCGTAGAAGTGAGGAATTTCCTTTGTATGGTTTTTTCATGGTATAGTACCCTTTGCTGCAGTGAAACGTGTACCACATTTACAGGGATGTGTGGACTAATACAGACCTATTTGCTCATTTCAAATACTTCAAAATTTTTATAATTCAAATAAAAGCGAATTAGAACACTTTAATATTTGTTGGAATATTCAAAGTGCTCGAATATTCGCACAAACCTAATATAAACCTCTTTAATATTGGTATCTTTCATTGTCTTATTCTGGCACAAGACTTGTCTGTAGAAATTTCTATAGTGGACATGTCACTACTTCATTACATTCATCGTAATTATATTACATGATGTGCAGCAGTAGTTCTTGGCCATGGCCCCGCTATGGTGGTCTAGTGGCTTAGATACTGGGCTACTGACCAGCTGGTTGCGGGATCCAATCCCGGCTGCGGCGGCTGCGTTTTCGATGGAGGTGAAAATGCGGCAGGCCTGTGTGCTCAGATTTTGGTGCACGGTAAAGAACCCCACGTGGTCAAAATTTCTGGAGTTCTTCACTACGGGGCCTCTCATAATCATATGGTGGTTTTGGGACGTTAAACCTTACATATCAACCAATCACAGTGATCCAACTTTTGTGCCAACTGTACCAAAGTGCACCAAGTCAGATTTACTGCGCCATCCTGATAATATCAATGGAAATTGCATGAAGCTGCACCAAAGTTGGATTTGGGATGGTGTATCACTGGCAAATAGCCACGTCGGCACGCGAATACATATGCACCTTGTTCTCAACGCCACCAAAGTCACAATCACGTACCTATTTTATAACTCTGAATAAAGAATGGTGGTGCATGCGTCTTAAAATCTACGATACTATGTTTGGTGCCAACACAACTCTGTTGTGCAAGTCCGCTTAACGATGAAACGTGCTCTACACAGGGGCTCCTGACGTTTATTCAAATCGGTAGAGCAGGGGTGAGACCGCTGTTCACATTGCGCATTTTTGATATGTTTCCGTTTTCTTGTGCCAAGCTGTGTCAAAAGCATAAAAATTGTGAAAATTGCACCGAACTGCTCCGAAACAGCCTCAAAAACTAGAATTTCGATGCCATTAACTTCGGTGGAGAAAAAATGCCGAGTTAACTAATAAGATGTGCCCAATCAGGTTTTTTTTTGCGTTGCACCATTATGGTGACGAAGGCTCCCATGCATGGTGCCGCCACAATCTGCTCTAAGCTATTGTAAATATGTGTTACCTCGCAAAAATGTGCTGCCGTGCATCAATCGTGCTGCTTCTACTAGCTAGGCTGTGTGTTCTCGTGCTACTGTCGTCTAACAGAAACCACCAAGTCGGGTGGCAAGCATACCAGAGTTGACCGTCAGGTTCTTTGTTGTTGGTAGCGCGTTTGTCTGGTAGCTGCGATTTTCCTGTCGACACTGCTGCGTGCGGTCACCTTACGCATGTGTGTTTGCTGTGAGCAAGTAACTGTAAATGTGAAGTCATTTCCCTGCATGCGACACGTCTCCTGGATGCACATGGGGTCTCAAAATGGGTTCCATGAGCGACAGAACGTGTGCAACCAATTCCCAGTTTATGCATATTAGATACTAATTTATTTAGACAAATGAGTACCTAAAGCATTTAAAACAGCCATCGCACGCAAAGTCCACACATCAGTGTCTCCAGGTAGAAAGACTTGGTTAGTACTTGTGAAGCCGTCAAATGCGCATCAAACCAATTTAAACAATATTAACCGGCACCTCGGCGCTTTATTCGTGACTCATGACGCGACGCTGATCACGTGGCACAGTGTTCCTTGCCACTGCTCTGTTTTGTAATCCAAACTCGTGTCGCTGTGTGCCGGCTCTGGGCTACACGAGCTTTTAGTCTAAGCTCAATGTTCGATCTGTGTTTCGGTCGGTGGCCATTCGACTTTGTGACTTCATTTTCTTCATTTCATTCTTTTTTTTGCAATAAAATTGGCCTCTGTACGTTTGGCGGTTCGGTTGCATGGACATGAATTTCTTTCCTGCACTGCGCAGTGCGAGCGCATTACGCGAGTCGCGGCGCAGGCAGTAATTACAAGTCGATGTATTATCGAGAGTTCTATCTTGGCGATGATGACATATCACATTAAAAAGATATATATATATATAGAACTGGCCAATAAGTGCCGTGTTAGCAATGCGTGTTTGTTTGCATGGAGAGGTGCTATCACTACCATTTGCTTATCACTTAGTGTCACACGCACGCGATTTACGAGATAGTCGGTGCGGCGAGGTTTTTTGGCTCCCGCTCTGCACTCTTGAAGGGAGTTCGCACGAAGTGGCCATGCTCGGTGGTGCCGCGCGCTTTTGTTGTCTGTTAAAAGCTTGCGGTATAATTGACACTATCATGTCAGGATTTCCTTTAAGCAAAGCCCCACTGTCACGTAACTAAGATTCTTGTGCAATCACAATTTTTGAATTTCTTTTGAAAGTGATGCGTTTTTATGTTTAAATGTTTCCAGAGAACCTATTTTTCAACCAAACCTTTTTTTTAGATATTGCTACGTAGCTGAAGTATCAGCGGTCAGAAGACGACAACAAGGAAGTGGTCTGTCAGTTGTGCGTGCTGTCTTCCATCTTAGTCGACGCCATACGCATCAGTTTGAATATAGATTTTAAATAGACACACCTCGTGTCATTTTTACATAACATCTTTGTGGTGGAGGTGCGGGGTGCTTCCCCGTCTTCATCACGAAGCTCCGCAACGGCCGCATCATCATAGGTCCAACCATGTCCCAGGTTGAACAATCATCGTCTTCGCCACCTGCTCCTACCGTGACTTCTACATACGTCGTTCTACCTCCTGCTCATGATCCCGGTGTATTTTCCGGTCAGGATGGCGTTGACGTCGACAAATGGATCAACCGGTACGAACGGATCAGTGCAAGCTATAGGTGGGACCCGACTCTTATGCTTGCCAATGTGCTTTTTTACCTCGATGGCCCACCGCGAGTGTGGTTCAAGACGCACGAAGCGGAGATTACGAGCTGAGACTCCTTTAAAGAGAAGATCCGCGACCTTTTTAGTGACACCGTTGGGCGGCAGATCGCAGCGCGGAATCAACTGGCGGCTCGTGCACAGACGTCGACGGAGTCGTACATCGCGTACATTCACGACATCATCGCCCTATGCCGCCAGATTGACGAGCACATGAGCGAGTCTGAAAAAGTAGCCCATGTGCTGAAAGGCACAGCAGATGACGCATTTAATCTTCTAGTTTACAACAACGTTGCCACTGTCGACGCCATTATTAAAGAGTGCTGGCGGTTCGAAGAAGCCAAGAGCCACCGTATTACTCAGCGATTCACCCGGCTGCCCAACACGGCCGCAACCTCATCGTGTGAAGCCACCCGCCAGTGCCCCACGTATGACGTCACACACATTGTTCGTCGGGAAATTGAAGCCGCCTGTCCGGCTTCTCTTCAGCCACCTGTTTTTGCAACGCTCGCCTCTGACCAACAACAACTGTCAGTGACGTTAATACAAGCTGTGGTGAGGCAGGAATTTGCGAACCTCGGCCTTCCATCAGCATGTCCCTTGACTCGCCCTGAAGTCCCGTCCTACTCCCGAGGACACGCTCGCCGTTCATCTCCAACAATGCCCTTCCGTAACCCTTCGGAACGACGTACACCTGACGAACGGCCTGTTTGTTTTTCCTGCCACCAGCCTGGACACGTTTCTCGCTATTGCCGCCGCCGTTGGTCAAACCAACCACGTCAGACTTTCTCTACCTCGGCACTCATGCATCCGACGACCCCTCGACGTTCAGTCACCGCACCCTTCAATTTCTATTCGCCGTCATCTTACAAGCCTTCCACTGACGCCCCTTTGCCCGGTCGCCGCTACCCTGACGCCCCTTTGCCCGGTCGCCGCCACGTCGCCAATCCCGCTCTCCGCCACCTCGGCGCTTTTCCTCGCTGAGCTTTTCTGGACGACCGCAGCAGGAAAACTAGATATTGCAGCTTATAGAGGTGAAGCTGCAATACCAGTGACGGCCGAAAATCCTCTACTGACGCTTCCCACGCACCATAGCCTGCTTGAAGTACAAGTCGACCATGTTCCTGTGACCGCCCTCATTGACACAGGTGCGCACCTGTCTATTATGAGCGCTTCTCTACGCTGCCGCTTACAGAAGATTATGACGCCATCTACGACGCAGGCAATACGTGTTGCCAATGGCGGTACTGTACCAGTAATCGGAATGTGCACTGCTCGTGTCAGCATTGCCGGTCGTCACGCCGTGGTCCTTTTTGCCGTGCTAGCCTGCTGCCCTCATGACCTCATACTTGGCCTTGATTTCCTTTCGGCACACTCGGCCTTAATTGATTGTTCGTCTGGTACCCTCAGCCTTGATCTACCAATCTTCGCCGACTACTCTGCAAAGCCCACCAGCCGCTTGAGCCCAACCACTTTCGTTCACCGGCCACCTCGAGCCGTCACGTACGTGTCTTTGTCATCCACCCCTCCCACTCCTGACGGTGATTATATCGTTACGCCAATTACTGACGT